GTAGAATCAAGAAATTGCCGTTGTATTCCCAATTGGTTTTCCATGTCCAACAAACGAAAATCCTGCCATTTACTATTGCATGATTATTTTGGGTAATTAATTTATTTTTTGTTTAATTCTTATTTTTTCCAACTACTTGATAATATCTCCAGAAGTCAAAACTTTCCAATGTCACTTGCAACGATTCATCGAGAAACTACAAAAAGATATCAAGAGATAGAGGAATAGGCTTTGAAATTGGTTGATCTTTTCAAAATACTGTAATTTATCGTTTTATTTTCATGTTGAAGTTTTATGTCTAGCTGGTTATTTTCGGTTAATTAAACTTAATTTAGTTCATGCGAATGATTTTGCAGAACAATATCGATTTACAGTTGCATCAGTCAATACCAGAGATATTTTGTCCTATCCATTAACGAAACCTTTACGTTTCCATGGCAGACTGTCTGCTATCAATTCTTCATTTGATTTCACTTCTTCTCCTTAAATCCCATCATTCATAATCACTATCATCATTTACTTGTGCAATTATTCATTTAAATACAATGATTCATGCAAGTTTACATTTCGAGAACATTACTGATAAAAGGAATTTTATTTCGATGTAAACACAGGATAGTTCATCTTATTACCATCATAATGCCTATTTGAAATTCCGCTCTTTCACAAAATAGAGTTTAGAAAATATGACATAATTGTTCAAGTTGACAGTCCTCTAATAAAATGTTAAGTACAAGAAGTTTCATCCTCTCAGGTCTATATTTGTTATAAATCATATCAAATATATAGAGAAATGAAATGTTTATCAATTTCATTGCAGATGATCACTTCGCGCACTTAATTCATCAGCGCATGTTGCATTACTGCAGCTATCACTATCACTACTACTAACACTATTGATATCTTTCTATTCTGCTTCATTTTCAATCTCCGATAAGTGGTTGTCACCTTGGGACAGAGATGCATTGTTGGTCATCTATTCTACTTTATTCTCAACTGTTGCCATTTTTCTCACTCTCTTCAGTCGTAAGTGTTGGCGCATAGAAAATTTGGGAGAAGAAATGCAATTGTTGCATTTCTCACTATATATAGTTTGGTGATAGTCATATAATTAATGGATTGATCGAAGAGCATTGGCTTGAAACTTTTATGTTGGCTTATTTCTATGAAAATGAAGTTTGACTAATCGGTGAGGTCGGGATGAAAGCAGCAGTATTAGCATGTGTGCAAAAATGAAATCCGAGTGGTAAATTTTAAATCAAGGGTATTTAGTTGACATAATCTCTTGCGTATATTTAAACGGACTACAGAATCGATAATTTATGGTTAATCAGAATACGATATCATGAATGGTGTGTATTCGGAAATTCGAACTGTTCTAAGCGTTCTTTCTAAATATTCTAAGTGTTCTTTCATTTTTATTTGCATCAGTGCCAAATGATTTCTTGGCTTTTACTTCTTCAGTTTTGATTATTACTTTTTGGTTGGTAAATGATTTAGAGAAATTTACTTGCGATTAGACTTCGACAAATTGAAATTAATTTACGATTTTAAAGGGAAATCTTTCTTTATAGGATTATTTCCAACGAACGAAATAAAATAATGGATTTAAGGGCAGCAAAAAAGGTAACACGCTCTAGCATTTGATTGGTATAACCATATTGAACAAAGCCTGTAATATGGAAACTTACTTTGATAGGTCAGGTACTCTTATTCAGGTCATGTTGATGGTATCCTGAATGAAGGAAACCTGTTGCAGTACATCGAGCTCTCTTGATAATTTCTAAATTGCATGCATTTCTACCTGTTACTCTCTGAGAATTAGAACTATATCCACAATTTGACGTTACCCTTATAGTGTTACCACCAGTACTTCCAGATTACTTCCAAATTCCACGATTAATCGTAATATTTTATGCAATAAATGCCATGTTTGCTTCCAAAACTTAGCCAAAATTTTACAAAAATTGATTTTTTTTCTCTGATAAATCGAAATAACAGTTGCAAATCAAAAGTACAGGCACATAAGATCAGAAATACAAATGCATAAGTAATGAAAGTATATCAGGCAAATAAGCTGCTATTAGATGCTATTACTGCTATTACTAAGCTGCTATTACTTTCTTTTTCATCTTTTCATTCTATTTCTTGCATCATTTTGAATTAACACTTTTTTTTTGTTCTTTTTTCCAGTATATCACGTACATTTTTATCAGCAAATGATTGATGCCATATGCTAATGTACCTTAATTATCATTTCAAATTTATTGATAGAATTAAAACAGGAGACTGTGCTTTTTAATAAGATTGAGGTGATCAGTTCTTTTTGTGTACCATGTATGATTTAGCCTCATTTGCATAATCAGTACTTTCCAGATGAACCAATGGTAACATATTTCTGAGCAACATTATCCCAAGGAATGGAATTGTTCCACGAAAACATTTAATTATTACTTTATCATATTACTTATCATTATTATTGCAAATATTGGTTTATTGGTTTTAAATTCGACAAATATCAGTGATTGTGACGTATTATCCTGATTAGCTAATTTGTATGATTTAATTTTTATTACTTTGAACATAACTGATTACAATAATATGAGGATGATATTTGAGAAAGTGATACGCAAAAATGAAAGATAAGAAAGAATGAAATCTCCTCATCGATCTGAACAAATTCAAATTTCATAGATTATATGTATTGCTTGACTCGACCACTACCATAAAGAAGCGCAAATTTTAGTTTTTTTGGACGCTAAACAAGGAAATTACTGCTTGACATGATCTGTCATGAAACAAGTAGTTTCCTTTTTTTTGATAAGATCCATTCCTTATCATTATTTGACATGAAAGCATAGAGTACACATTACTTTCTCGTATTGTAACATTACAGCAGAAACAAACATAACTCTAATTCTACATCACAGAAATTTCTTCTTTTGAAAAATTTTTTGTAAAGTACAAAAGGAAATGAAAGTGAGAAGAAAATTCCAAAGTGACTGATGATATCATAACGGAAAAAAATGAAGGACTTTCGAACAGCATGAATGGAAACCGTACACAAAACGACATTTGCGCAAATTCCGATAGACATAATTATCAAACTTTATTGTAGTATAACCGGTGCGTATGTGATTTAAATCTGTTTGAAGCACTATCACTACTGGTCAGTCATGTCTTAGCTAGTAATAACTTACTTATATAGCCACGAAAGATAAGTGTCCGTTATGCCTGATAATTTGAAATTATTTCTTGCTCTGACCTTCCGGTTACATTCGACTTTGCTATAATGCCATATACGAAATTAAAGTGATGATATTGTTTTCCAATTATCCTGTACGCATAAACCGGTTTCTCCCATTCCTGTTTCTTGCATTATGGAATATATGATTCTTTCGTCAACTTCTAACACTCAATTGAAGCATCAAACACAAACACTGCCAGTAAAAACGAACCCCGTGCAAATGATGAACGGCGGTGGTTTCACAAAACGAATTGCTTAATTATTGTTTCTAAAATTTCTTCTTTTCCTTCTCTCTCTCCCTCTCTCTCACTTCAAAATATAACTTCAGGTACTTCCGCTATTTGCTTGTTTAGCAAACCTGATTTATTCATTGTCTCTTTAATCATATATGTAGTGATGGTTCTTTACTTGTTCTTCTGCTAAATACCGTCTTTATTAGTAGCTCTCAATCAGGAGCGCTTTAAAAAATCATTGGGAATTTGCCAGTGGCATTTACTTAAATTTCTATCTATCAGTTTTCGGATTTTCAATTTCGAATTCCACTCATCATTTGATATGCGAATAAGATGTGAGATGAATGCTAAATTGCGGAAGGTCAGTTATGCAATGATTCATTCATATACAATGTCTAATTACGCCAAACTCACAATTTCAAAGTGTGTATTTCATTAGTAAATGTGACAATTTATCTTACAGCATTCCTGTAGAAAGTCATTTTGATCGTCGTCCCTTAAATACAAATTTATACAATTAATGAAAAGTTTTGCTAAAATTATTCCAAAAAAGTAAAAATTGTTAAAAATGTCAATTAGTCAAAGGTTTTTTGTTTCAATTTTCCACTTAATTCAGGCACATTTCCTCGTTACAGTAGCCTATTGATGCAGCTTTTTTTCACAGTTACACTTGATAGATATGGTCGCTTTTAAGTCTAAATAGAATGACCATACATGTCGTACCTTTCCTTTGATGTTCTACAAGTAAGCGCTAATTATAGCGTCAACTTGCTGATGTCTTTTTCTTTCTTATCAAATTGATAGAAGGATTCAGATAATTACCCTTCCAAGCAATGTTACGGTAGCATCTAAGTGCTTCATGAGGTTCCACTTACAGCTATCCTCAATAACTTCATACAAATGGTTTTTATCGCTATTTATTGTTAATTGTTTATCATTGGGTTGTATGTGACCATTGAACATATTTTTTGCTTGTTTGCTTTTCACACCTTTAAATTGAGTTCCGTAATGTCAAAATTAACAATTGGAATCATTTTTATACGACACAATTGCTATAGCAAGACTTGAAAGACATGCAAACTTCATACTTTGCCTATACAACTAAACTGTTCTAAAGAGTAAAGAGTAAAGTATGATTGAACTAAATAAATTGAGCTAGAGTATGGTTTAGGTAGATAAATTTCAAATTTTGGTGAGTGAAACTGAAATTCATTAAATACGCATGAGTGATGCACATAAGGTGGAATAGTTAGTCATGGGAAATGGTTCCACAGACGCACAAAACGTGTTTTAATTTAGCTATTAATTGAAACAGAAACGAAAACTGTACCTTACCGAAAATGTTTACATTCTTGCTTCTTTTTTTTTTTGCTTTAGAAAGGAAATCTATATAAGTAAAGAGTAAATGTTCGCTTTGTCCAAAGTCTCAAATCTTCTAAAATTCCTCACTAATTGTTTGAAATTTCGACACAAAGTTGCATTCAAATACGCGGGTATTTTTATATATCTATATTATATTGATGTCATACGTGCGACAGGTAAAAACACACTTTTTTGCGAATGTACATGGATATACATGTATAGAGAGAGAGAGAGAGGAGGAACTTTGGTAAGCTCTATCAGGATCAGTCATCATGGAGGTCTTGTACCCTTTTGTTTGAATATTATCGACATTGTAAATATATGTAGTTCAAGCTCATGTTGCAAGATGTTGTAAATCAGCTCATGTTGATTACCAAGTTAGGGGTCAATGTCGGCGCATTCTAAAGGATCTCAGGCCACCGTCGGCACATTCTAAAGAACCTCAGGTCATCTTGCGGTCAGTCAGCTTAATATCATGAATTGTTGTGAATAAAATCCTCCTATGTAAGCTCTAAAACCGGGAAGCTGGACACATTCTGTTTTATCTACGCGCAACCATATCTTTTTCCGATCCTGTTTACCTTCAAGACGTCACTATTTTTGCATAATTTGTTCGTTTGAATTATATCCAAATTTGTTGCTGAGCTGTTATTTATTCACTACAAATAAACCTTTCATTTGGTAGATTGCTCATTGTACAAATTATTTTAACTTTTTTGACAATTTTTGGTAAGTTTTCATTACTTGCGAACTATTCCTGAGTATAGTTTATTTTTTTTCTTTTTCTATTCTTTTTTATTTTGTCTTTTTTCAACTGTTTTTTTTATTTTTCAGTATTTATATTCTCTCTTATTTTTTTTATTTCTACTTTTTTGTCTTGCAATTTTGTATATTTTTGTCATAACTTTCTTTCTTCTTTTTCAGTGAAATCGATCTGCTTTAGCTCATCAAAATAATACTTCGTAGAAGATCAAACTTAGACCATCTTACTCGGGGAACGGAAAATTGCTAATCAAACTGCGGAAAGAACGGGAACGGGTATCAGCAAACGAGGAAACACACAAAGCTCAAATATTATCAAGGAAGCATCAGGAATGCAGTCAGACTTGAGAATGCATGAATGTGAACATAACGATCGCGTTCTATAGCTTCAGATTTGCTTCGTTCTTAATAGGATGAACCCAGCTTGCCTAAAATACTCTGCGACACGGAAAGACATTAAAATTAGCTACTAATATGCGTGCCCAACTGTAAGGCGATCGATCAACCGAGATATTCTCATATCAGTTGCTGGAAACCGGGAATAAAAAGGTGCCGGTTAATATGATCTTAGAATGAATTTCATTGCCTCATAACTTCTGCAATTTAATGATGTCAAAAGAAGGTTTGGTTGGAAAAGTACTTCCCATTGTTCAAACCATTTATAAGAATCACGATTAGCTAAGCGAACGAGCTATTCATGCAGCCAAGAATAAAGACACCTACAAACCTAATAATATTATTCAGTCTAATATTCAAAGCGAGGAAGTTACATGCAAGTTCGTTGACATTTTATGAAAGCAGATGAAGCGGTTAACTATCCAACAGAATTTTCGGATGCTCTCAATCTGCCAGGGAACCCACCGCACGTACTGCAGTTGAAAATTGGCGTGCCGTTTATCATGTTGCAAAATATCAACGAGCCAAAATTTTGCAATGGCACGCGGCTTGCAGTGAAAAATTAATGGCAACGTCGTGGAAGCAACAGTCTTGACAGGACTTTTTAAAGGTAAAGACGTCCTCATTCCTCCATTCCAATGGAATCATTCCCATAATTCCAACTGATATGCTATTTCAATTTAAGAGATCGCAATTCCCAATTCGATTGGAGTTTGCAATCACCACCAAGAAAGCTCAGGACCAATCTTTAGAATTCTGCTGTTTAGATCTAAACATGGATTGCTTCTCAGATAGACATTTACATGTTGCGTGTTATAGAATCGACAAACCAGACAATCTCTATATCTGGACATACAATGGGACAACAAAAAATATTGTATACCCACAAGCATTGTGAAATCAAATATATTAAAAACGTGCGCTTTCTCTTTACTTTCTTTACCATTTAACAGCAACTCTTTTCCATTTAACAAACTATTTTGTTTTATTTGCTATTAGCTATACTCAGTCACAGCAGCCAGGTATAGCTAATAAAATATAAATTTGTATTTATCGTTATTTTGTATGTCTCTCGCACGCGCTTTTGTCAATTGTACAATCAGTCAATCGCACGTGAAAAGTAAAGTTTCATTGAGTAGAAATGGTGCAAATTTGGTATATGGAGCCATATCCATGCGGCGATCCACGGCTACCACATCATTTATTTCCGCCTAAAAAGATCACTCCTAATGAATTAACGAAACGAACTGGAACACTTTATTTCAAGGTAATTTTTGAACTTTTGTTTTTTCCAGAAACATTCGTCATCACTTGTTGAAGTTATGGCGCTTCATTCATCGATGAGACATTGCTTTTCTTCCATAAATTGCTTAATTAAGACTAATTATAGCGAGATTTTGACTATTTAATTAATTCTGAATTGTTCTGAGCAAGTTTATCATAAAATTTGGCGAGTTTTTTTTTTTTGAAGGTTGACACAACAGATCAGATTTCAATGTCAAAACGAATCGCCTTACTTAAAAAGGGAAGAAAATTGACAAAGGAGGACATATATACATTAAACGCTAGAACCACTCCAGATTTCGAAGATAAGGTTGCAAATAACTATATAATAACATGAAAAAATGTTTATTAGCGAAAAGGAAGAATATCTTTTCTCTTGACTTAATTGAAGTGAAATGTCTTGTGCATAAATTTAAGTTTCAATTGAAAACTCTTTAAAAGACTTTTTTATTTTAGCTTGGATTTGCAAGCAATAAGTTTATCCTGTAATAGCTATTACATAATCATGCATAGCTAGTTATAAAACTTAGGTTTAGCAAAATATGACTTGTAAACTTCATCCACCTGTAATAGATTGAGGAGCTATTCGAAGAAATCGAACTAAGCAATGAGATAGCTCTGCTTATCATGGAAGGCTCCGCATACTACGATGTTGAAGATGGCTGCGGTAACTGGTTGAGGATCTTATGCGAGTATGGCGATTTATTAATAATCCCAGCTGGAAAACTTCATAGGTTTACGACGACAACCGAAGTATTTTTTGCCATATTTTCATATTTTCTACTTTCATATTACCATCTTTTATAATCACATTTTCTTTTACCGTTGGACAATTCGAAAGTTTGATTTTTCAATAGATATTGAAGAAAAATTAAGATGCACGCCAATTAAAATACTGAGAAAATCTGCTGTTGAATTTCATTTTCATCCTGCAACTTTAAAAATCTATTCCATTCATATTTATTGCTTAGAATTTTCGAACTAAAACTTCTTCCAAGAGAGTCTTTAACAACTGCAAAAAACTGAATGAATTTGAATTCAACAAATAGGTATTGCAATGATGAAAAAGATTGGAAGTAGGAATAAGTAAGACGAATGAAGTTAAATTTACTTTTCTTTTTAATTTTAAATCAATCTTATAATTCCATTATTCTTTTGATTTTTATTTTGCAGAATTTCGTCAAAATGCGCCGCTTTTTCAAGGCTGATAAACATTAAGCGAATCACTCGTCTTAATTTTTCATTTGATTAATTGCACATAATGTAAAATTCTTCTTTCAACATCCTTGACCTCTGTAGCTGAAACATTCTCCGTACTAAAAAATGAATTCTGCATAACCTCAATCTGTGACATTGACTTATATAGCGGATGGGACGTAGAAAGAATAAAAGAGCGCCCTGTCATTCCTAAGCCGCACAGATATTACCTTGCAAGGAACGCTAGTAGTCATTAGAGAAACCGAGTGTTTGTTTGTACATGTTATTTCCAGGACTAACTTGAAGAAGATAATAGACCATTTTAAAACTATCTTGCAAATGTCTCACATGTAGAACGTGAATTGAAATTCAAGTTTTCTTTTCATTCCATTTTCTACCTAATTAACGATATTTTAATATATTGTCACGTGTTATCAGATATATTAATGATAAAGTAAATGGTTTGTATTAGAGATCAAAAATTATCATCAAAGCTTCCAAAAAGATATGCTTTATTTGAAGTTTGTTTAAATTAAAAAATTTAAAATTTAAAAATTTTTTTTTAAAAAATTTATTAAAAAATTCGGTTGCCATAATCAGTCTATTTACTTAAAAAGAAGAAGAAAACGAATGCTTCATCTTATGATAAAATAAAATGGTTCACCTATTGGAGGTAATCATAAATTATGAGAAAATATTGAATTAACAATTAATTTTGGAAAATTGACTTTTTTATTCTCCGCGACACTTCGCACTGTAAAATTAATGGTCTTAGTAATTAAAAAACTGGTAATTTACAATTGGAAAATCAGACGTCAAAAGAAAGAGAAAATAAATAGACTAAAAACGATTGTGCCATTACTGCTCCAAACTGACAATGTTAAACAACTGAAATGACGCAAGCATTGCACAAATTAATTAGTAAAAGTAAAAAATAAAAAAAAACATCAAAGAAGGTAAAAAAAAAGAGCAGTTATTGTAAAAAACTCAATTGACGTTAGTTAATGAAGAGTGGAAAAAAAGTGAACTTTGCCATCTGTCAATATTTTGCTTCAATTTATTTAAGAGTGCAATCAAATATTTGAAGAGAGCGAAGTATTTCCCTAAATTGATGCAACAATTATTTGAGAGATCAAAGGCTTTAGGGTATTGAAGGTTTTGCGTGATCAAAGATCAAGAGGGATAAAAGGTTCATCTATTTAAATTTTAGATTTTTCTTGGTGCCCAAATCACAATTTTTCCTTTATTTTTAAATCACAGTTTTAGACTTCAAAATAATTCAATTTCACCGACTATTTTCTACAGTTTTCAATTTTATTTTTTTCCAGTTTTCTTCAGCAATTCAAAACGATACACAATCTAACAGTTTCCAGCATTGCAGTGGGAAAGCAATTTTAGTGTCCTAAATCACAAGCAGTAATGGACAATGACAGTAGATAAAACTAAATAAATTTTGCGTTTAAAATGTCTTGGAATGAGATATTGGGAGTGAGAAATTTTAGGAAATGAAGAGGAAGTGGAAAAAGTGAATGATCTCTAAAAATGAGTGATGCAGTGGGGTACTGGTATAGTGTCTTAATATTTGGAAGGAGAAGGTTAAATCAGACTCAGTCTTTCTTACAAGCGCATTCCTTTTGCATAAATCATTTTTTTCCGGTTATCCACCATTGATATTTCCCTGTTCCTATTCTATTCATGTTCAAATAAAAAATTATAGCTTTCTTGATTGACCTTGTAGTTTTTCAGACTTTCTATTTCAAATGAATTCAAAATTTGAAGATGGAAGCAAGTTCTATTCGATATTAGGAGAAAACATTTTGATGTAAACTGGAATGTTTTGAGTCCTGGAAGGAAGAAATTCTTCGTATATTTCAAAGCAGTGCAATCTTCCTGCTAGCAAAGTTTCTTGATCTGATACCAGAGAAAATTTACGCCATTTTACTAAAAATAACGTTTTGTAAGCATGAAAAGGGACTGAAAACACTGAACAGCACAAAAATTATCAGCAGAACGATGTTAAATTGTGAGACAAGTAGTTTGTGATAAAATGATTGAATACCTTATCATTAAGAAATGGCAAAATTGATAACTGGGCCAAAAGCAAGTTAAGGGGCATAAGAATTAAGTGTGAAACATGATAAAACCATCTCAGTTTGATTTAAGAGAGATTAACAATGCAGAGATTAACTTCTAACTGTTTACTCTTACCTTTCTAAAATGCTAGGATGTTATTTTGAGCTCATTTATGCGCTTCTATTTCTGCTTTTACTACTTTTATTTCTACTTGCTCTGCTTACAAAATGGATGAAGCAGATGGAGTGCATTCGAAGAATTATGTTTCGATAGTTTGGGGATGATTTGGGCAAACATACTAGTTTCCAATACCTTTCAAATCAACTGTATCGTAAGGATGGAAAAATGTGTGTTCACCTATCAGAATTGATTTTCGATCTGAAAAACATTATTAAATTCAAAAATTTCATCCCTTTCAGTTGAAATTTCTTCATAATTCTTTTTTGTGTACGTTCATACTGGAAGACAGCAACTGGCAATTGATTACTGTTTGCTAGTTTCATTCTCGTCAGAATAATACTTAGCTGATGAAATCATTTTGAAATGAACAATTCAATGTAGCATTTATAATTACCCATCACAAAACTCATTCATCTTCTATGCTGTCATATATTTAAAGGGGAAGTGTGGTATGATCTTACTTTCATCACTTGCATATTAATAATTGTTCCTTTCATTATGGCATTTTTTCATCTGCTTGTATTATCAAAATATTTATCAGTTTCAGGGTAATTACAGCTTTACTTATTCATCATGAGCCAGCCTTGTGATCTTTTTGCAGTTCATTGGCATATCGAAGAGTTAATTAGCCTGATTCATCATAAGAATTACAGCACTAAAGAGAAATGTACGACAAGCCACATTGTTCCTCAGCCAGATCAGCAGAATAAAGGTAATGTTATGGACTGCCAATTTAGTTAATGTTGAAAGTACTCATAGAGTAATAGATTAGATAAAAGATCAATGGGCCTTAAACTGATTTGCATAAATCTTAGTAAAATTGAAGTTATTTATTGATTTCGGGAAAGATCCTTGTTTAATTTCACCAAGAAAAAACGAAAAAATGAAGAAAATTATTTTAAAAAAATGTAAAGAGACATTAGATTGACTTACCGCTTAACATATTTGTGAATGAAGACACGAAAAGTTGAAAGTTTCATTCAAGCAACAGAAACAAAAAATGCCGAAATTGGGACAAAAAAAATAAAATTTATTTAAAAGTTTGTGTTCCACAAGTGTAGGTTTCATTTGCATTATTCAATAATTTTTTTCGTTGTTTCTTTTTAACACAACTTGTTCTAGTTGAAAACACTTTTTTTAATAAGGAATTTGACTTTCAATTAAATAAATTTGCGAGATTTATCAAAGAAGTATCGAGATTCGAGATTAAGAATTTGACGACTTCCATTAATTACCTTTTAATTGAGAGATCATTGCATATCTTTAAGAATAGACTGTCCAAATCCAAGTATATTTTTGCTCATTTCTTTTGGAGTACTAATTATCCAACTCAAAACGCCAAAAAAAAATTTGTTTCATTTTATAATTTTCGTAATATTAAACTTTTCGAAAGTAATTCACTATTTTCTGGCGTTTGTTATAAAGAAAAAAATGAAAAAGGTTGACTTAAGAAGTGAAATTTTAAGTTAATACAAGCGAAAAACAAAACCTGTACCAAGTCCAAATCTGATTGAAAAAATACAATTTCTCTTAGTTTTCTTAATTTTTTTTTTATAGAAAGCCAGGTGGTGAAATAACAAAAAATGGTTATTTCAACTGATTTTATTATTTCAACTGGAGATTGCCTCCTTTTGAGCTTTCAAAGAAAGTTAGAGGAATAGTGCCGTTGGAAAAATAACCCATTAGAAGTAATTATTCCAAGTATCCGACCTTTCAGCTAATTCGGTATTATATTCCGGATATATGTGTATATTGAACTGGTGCAAATTTGACAATTACTTCCAAAGTTACAATTGCAATTAAATTTAAATCCATAGCAGAAATAAATGATTCCAGAATGAAAATTCCGAATAGAAACATAAGAAATGATGATGTAACGAATTTAAAATTTATTACGAAAGTTAAAAACAGTTGCGCAATACATTCGAAGTTAAATCGTTGCATTCATTCAAAATTACATTTCTTCGATATTACAATTAAACGCCGATGGCATTCTGTAATCCAATCTGTTTTGAACTTTTTTTAGAGAAAAAATTAGCAATTAATAATAAATTTTCCACATATTTTCATCAATAAATTAATTATTTTATTTGTTTTCTCAGAATTTTCCCTCAGAATAATTGAACAGAAATGAAAACAAAAAATATCTTTGAGCTTTTAAGTCTATTTACAGCCTACTATAATATTTCTGTACAATCTGAACGTTCCAACCTGAATATGTTATCAAATGCGTCAAACTGTTACAATTATTTACGATATGCAAAAGGTAGCGAATTAAGAAATGAAGAAAGAAAATCTCGTTTTTTCATTAGTGCTTGTTTGTGGATTGATTCAATGATACACAATTCGATTCATCTTTCATTTGGCTGAACCTCTTCTTTTGACAGTTCCAATGAATACATCCCTTCCTCTCACAAAGAATTATTTGTCTGAATTTTATTTATATTTGTATTGTGAGATACGAATCTTTATTACAGTATACCAAAGATATGCATCCGAAACCTATGCATCGCATTGGATAAGCGAACATTTTTCCACAAGTGTCTTCTCGGATCCCTGCGTATCATACTTTCTACAAGATATCTCAATTTACCTTGAAGGATGGCGATACACTTTCAATTTTGTATGACAAAAGATAAATTTCATTAAGGAAGTTACCAGATCATTCTCCATCTCGAGATTTTGTTACTTTTGGAATTCACTTTTTGCTAGATGCAAGTATGAATTCGTAGAGTTAATACTGATATTAAAAATGGTATTCAGAACCAGAGACGTGTTCAGAAATGCAACAACCATCAATCGGTGAACTATTTCATTCTTTTGTTTGCTGAATTCCGGTGATTGATATTATAGATTTCGTAATAGAATTACTTCAGAATCATCAACTAACGGATTGTATGGAAAATCCGGCAAGTAATATTGAAGGACTTGTTTCATACCCCAGTTCACAGGTAGATTTTGTTATATTCTCGTCCTGCTTAAATGGTCTGTTATGTTATTGATTCAAAAAAAAATAGCTTTGACTTATTTGAAAAATTTGACAGGTGATGATTTGGAGCTGTCATACTGGGCCAGTAATACTTGCATTCACCAATAATTACAAAAAGCCAGTGGTGTGGGCGCTAAAAACGAATGCTATAAGACGTCTTGCTGCATTTCCAACTACTGGAATAATTCCGCCCTCAGAAACAGTTCAAGTTAACCGCACTTTTTCTTGATTTTTAAACTTTAGATTTTTCAAAATTCT